TCCCTCTCAGCTCCACTTGGGTTTCCAGACCCCTTGGTCTCTCCTCTGGCTGCTCTCTGAGCTCTCACACCTCTCAGTCTCGCACAACCACTCCCTGGGCTACCAGGATCATTGGTCTCCCTCCTGGCCCCTCTCCAAGCCACCAGCACCTTTTTGCCCTCTTGTCCTGGACCCTTTTAATTCTCCACTTTCCCGGACACTCTCCAAGCCCTCGGACCCCTCTGGTCCTGCACTCTATCCCCCGGCCCCTCGCTGGGCCACTGGACCCACATGGTCCTGATCTTCCTTGCCAACTGCTTTTCTGTTGGGGTGTGCTCCCCTAGCCTTCCCCCTCCATAGGGTAACCCACAAAACAGTGGGAGCTGAGGTTTTCTGGTGCTCCATCCTCGCAGCAGCCCATGCGTGGCATTTAATGGAGACCACCCCACTACAGGCAGCCTAACCACACTAACCAGCCCCAATAGGGTAGTTTCAGGTCCTACCCAGGACCAGTCTTCAGGCCTACCTGATCTTACTTGTCCCACTCTGGGCTCCCTCTAGATGTCCTATGCCCTTTCTGAGCTGCTAACTACCAGGACCCCTGGCTCTGGCTCCATCTCCCATCCAAGGCCTCCATCTCTGGCCCCCCAGACCACTCTCAGACCCCTTTCCTCGACTGCTCCCCCTCAGATGACCTAGCACCAGCCATCATCATACTGGGCTGCATGCCCCTTGACCTCTTCGCTACGGCCGCATAAGGACCTTCCAGCCTCTCCTGGGCTCTGGCCCCATCTCATGCCCATCAAGAATTCCAGGCTCTCCCGGCTCTGGCAGTCTCTATTCTACCCTTCGGCTCCTCCTGGGCCTTGGCCCCAAATAGGTCAGTTGAAAATCCCAGGGTCAGTCTTCTGGCTGTCAGCCCTCTCATCTCTGTGGGTCCACCCTCTTGGGCCCCTCCATAGATTGCTCCTTCTCTCTGGGCATGCCGAGAGCCCTCCATAGGTCTTCCCCAACACAGCCCCTTCCTTCTGGGCTCATCCAGACCCCTCAATAGCCACCCTCCTCACTGGGTCCCCCCAGCCCCTTCACTAGGTCTCCCAAAGATTCAGCCTCTCACTCAGGGCTCACCTGGTCCCTCAACAGGCCCCTGTGCACTCAGCCCCCTTCTCTGGACCCCCACACTGCATCCCCCAGGAACCTCCTCCATCCCCTTAGTTCTTACACAAACCTCCAGATGTTTTTCTCCTTGCTGGCATTGGGGAGCACCAGCCTTCCTGCTGGCTGATGTTCCCTCACCAGCTCCCAAGATGTTACCCCCAGCCCAACAGCCTTGCCTGCCGGCCCCCGTGTCAGCTGACTGTAATAAGCACGTAGAGCTGGCAGCGATCGGCAGTATGGAAATAGACCGGCTTCATGTCCCCCAGCCTGCTCAGAGGGTGAGGAGGACAGCGCTACAGGGGCTGCCGCAGCAAGGGCCCCATAACGAGCTCCAGAGGGCTGGGGGACATGGGGATGGGTGGGAGGGAGGGACTGCCCTCATGCAGATCCTGATGGATGTCGATGAGGGCAGTGGCAAGCAGGGCAGCCTTAACCTCCTGGAGTAGGAAGAACAGAACATGCAACATGGACACCTCCATGCACCGGGCTAGCACGGCAGGATCTGCCCAGCCCTGCTTGGCACAGTCCGGGAGGTCCCAGATACAAGTGATGGGGGCCAGGACCATCCTCTGGTGCACCTAGGGTACCTCTGTTGGCACCACCAACTGTCGGTTTCTCAGCAGGGGCTCAGCGATGCGGTCAGTTGGACTTGGAGGTGGAGACCAGCCTCCAGGCCCCGAGGAGCTCCTGGTAAAAACCCGGCAGCTCTCCCAGGTCCCGCATGGGAAGCCCTCACAGGTGGAAGAGCTGCTGGTCATACCCCTGAAGACGCTGGAGGAAGGCGTGCCCCAAGTGACTCCATGCCACGTGGCTACCAGCACCATAGAGGAGTCTCTGCAGGGCCTGGATGGTTTGGATAGGGATGATCTTGCCTCAGGCAGGGGGTTGAACCAGATGACCTCTGGAGGTCCCTTCCAGCCTGACTTCTCTATGATATTCTTTGGGGAAAGGGGCATCTGTAGCTATTGGTCATGGGAGTGAGAGGCATGGCCTCTGAACCAGACCTTAAACACAAGAACTGAGAGAGGAACAGTAGGAAAATCCCCTGGTCAGACCCAGTTCACTCCCCCTCTCAGCATCTGCTCTCTGCTGCTGTGTGACACAGGGCCTTTGGGTTCAACAGCTGTTCTAGGTTTCTCCTAAAAGGCTCAACCACTCAATCCATACACAGTGTGGCCCCGGTGCTTCAGGGTGTACACCATGCCCACAACTAGGGATCTACCTAAATCACACTTGAAGTGCACTGTGCAACAGCTCCTTTCATCTTGATCTTTTCACCGCACTGACTGGAAAAGGGCCCCCAGCAGCCCCACGGCTTGCTCCTGATCGGCTGAGAGGCAAAAACCAGTTTTGACTATGCCCTGGTTTTTGCCTCCCAGCTGATCAGCAGCGAGGGGCAGGGCTGCCAGGGCCCCTCTGCCAATCAGCATGAGGAGCAAAAACCTCAGCATATTTAAAACTGCCATTTTGGCCTGCAGGCTAATCAAGAGCAAGCAGCAAGTGGCAGGGCTGCTGGGCCCCTCCACTAATCAGTGGCAGGAGAGGCCTGCAGCAAAAAGAGCAAGATTAAAGCATGCTGGACAGCACACTTCCAGCGCCATTCAGGTCGGAGGTGGACAATTATTTTTGGTTTAATGAGTTTTGGTGAGTTGTCAAGGGCCGCAAGGATAGCCCTGCCCTGGACAGGTGCCCTGCCCCCGGTCACCATCTTGGGACTGGAAGTCCTGCTCCGAACCCCTGACCTTTGCCACCACAAGTCCCTCCCCTTGCCCCCAAAAGTACTCCTTTTGGCAAGAGGGGTTTGCCATCTCGGAACTGGAAAAAAAACAACTAAATCATATACTAAAAATCAAACATGTATTATAACACATTTTATTCCAAAAGATATTTTTGTCCTTATTTACGTGTGTTTGTTTATGTAAAGGTGATCACAAAATAGCTCAAAATAAAGTCTTACTCCTGTAAGTTGTGTGTGGAGGACGGTTGGGGGACTGGATCCACGTGTGGGTGTGTTGTGTGAGGAAGTGGTCTGCGATTGTGTGGGGGGCGGGGTTCAGTGTGTGGAGGGAGGGTGGAGAGGGTATATGGGTGTGATTGTGTGTGGAAAGGGATGGGTGTGGGGTGTGATTGTGTGGGGGGAAGACTGTCTGGAAGTGGGGTGCATGTAGGGGGTGTATGGTTGTGATGGTGTG